TAGCAAGGCTCCTTGGGGAGAGATTTAAATGCTGGTGATTACTTTGTTTGATTACTTATAGTGTGTCTGGGTGTGTGTGCGTGTAGTGTATATGTGTGTGTTGAGTGTTCTGCGTGTCTTAAGTGTGTGTAAATGACTTTAACATTGTCTGTGTCTACCTCCACTGCACTGCTTCAACTTTGTTCACCCCGTTCTGAGCGAAGTCAGTTTTGACAGTAATAAACGAGAACATTAACAAATAAAATTTCCATCTTAAAAACCCAAATATTGAGCCTTAGTATTTGCAGACAATGCAGAATCATTAAAAGCACTGAGCAAGTTAACTTGTGAGATCTTCATTATCAAAGCCCTCTGAAACTGCTCCCCTAAAGGCAAGAATCGAAAACCTTTCCTACAAATAATGTTCACAGCCAAGGTGATGTAAGCCTCCCCACTCTAAGCCTGTCAGAGATCGGCCTGTTTAGTGTGAGCACAGAACAGATAAAAATTTAATGATCCTTGTGGTAGAAATCAGGTCAACCAACTTCTCTTTCATCAGACCACCAACTTTTGATCTCTTCAGACCACCTCATCTATTTTCAAACCATCTGCTGCTGGAGAAGTGACCGCTGCCTGGTTTTTATGTCTCTCTGGAAGGTGCTCATTCAAATTCCCAGACTGGCTGAAGAAAATCTTATAGGGGGAAATAAATAAGTAGTAATTTCCTCTCCCTTAACGACTGCGGTGGAGCTGCTTTTGAGCAATGCAATGAACCTTCAGCTCTGATAACGCAGCTGCTCAGCAGCCGCCAGCAGAAGTCTGGCATTGCAGCTCTCTGGTGAATAACTGTGTAACTGTATGAATAAAGAAGGAGTTACAGGAAGTTCTGTCTTTTCTCTCTCGATCATTAAAGCATCAGTTGTGTTTGTGTGTTCAGATCCGTGCTGGGGGGTTTGAGTACTCCCCTGGGACTCTTCACATCTACTCAGACAGCCTGCTGACGCTTCCAGCCATCATCGGCATTGGAGGGGGTGGTGGTCTGCTTCTGTTGGTCATCATCGCTGTGCTGATAGCCTACAAGAGGAAGTCGAGGGACGCTGACCGCACCTTGAAACGCCTTCAGCTCCAGATGGACAACCTGGAGTCCAGAGTGGCCCTGGAGTGTAAAGAAGGTAGGCGATGCAAACAGTGTGTACACAGTTTTATCCAAAGCCTTTTAAAATTAAAACTTAAACCATTAGAAAAGTGAATAGTCAAATCATAGGTCACATCGAAAAACTTTTTAAATTATGAAAAGTTAAGTATATGGGCATCTTCTGGTCACTGGTGATAGAATTTTTTGTAGACACAAGTGCAAAAATATAAAACATTTCACAAAATGTTTAGATCAAATGAATAATAATAATAATAAAAAAAGAATAATGGAAATCTAGCTGTTTGCTCCTGTTTCCAGTCTTCATGCTAAGCTAAGCTAACATTTAGATTATCTTTAATGTATATCAGACTGGGTCTATATTTCTTTAAGTACATATTAAATAACCTTTTCACCTAAATAAACTAGATAACAGTCCCAAATGTAATAAATTAGACTATGGCCACACAAAACACAGCCCTCTCCTGTCTATATCTATCTATAGTTCCTACATATTGTGCTGAGTAAACTAGTTTAAAGATAAGCCACTGGCAATGACGCTGGTTGCACTGTGTGAGTCTGCTACGCTGACTGAGTACATGCAACAGTACATGATAGAAAAAGGAAGTTGGAAGTTTCATGATATGAATGAGCAGGTATAACAACGTTGAAGGATATTCCTGGGGCGTTTTATAGCCAAAGAAATAAAGCAGAGAGAGATATATATAGGTAGTTACAGACAGAGCAAGAGACACCATTGATTTCAGTTGCCGTCATCGCTGACAACAGTGCGTCTGCAGGGTATTTTTACTGAGGTGAATGCACAACTGTGTCATAACTGAGTCATAGAAAATAAAAAAAATAGTTTTATTTATGAAAATACAGAGCTGATATAACATTATACATAAACAGAAGGAACTCGAGGCCAGTTTAGTTACAATTAGAATAGAATGAATGGAAGATGATGCCTTTATTTGCACAGTTGTACAATGAAATTTAGTGCATCTCCTCAGTCGCACGTACTATTTTTACAATTTGTCATCATCATCGTCAGGCAAACCAAAGGGTGCTGCATGTTTCCACCTCTGTGTGTCTTCACCATAGACTGTATATAAAGGTGGACGTAGCCTCTGTGAAGTCACCCATAGGCTTCTGATGAGCAGTTTTGAAGCTCAGAGTATGCTGCTATGCCATCACCTTCTTGGCAGTACCTGACTCCTCTCCTGGCTAATCCAAAAATGGGCAAAGAGGTGGGGCGTGTGTGGAGCCGAGACTTCGGTTCATGCTGGTTTGGTGGCAAGCATACACTCACCCGCATGTCACTCACAGCAGCCACGCCCCCTCCATTATGCATAACTTTAAGTCTAAAAAAGTGAGTTATATAAAAATTCACCCCGTACAGTCGTCACGAAGGAGGAAATTAGCTATAGAGACCAAAACTGTTTGATGTACCAGGCTGTAAACATGTGAAGTTGGGTATTTTAACATGGGAGTCTATGGAGATTGACTCACAGACTCTAGTGGCCATTAGAGGAACTGTAGTTGTTGGCACTCGGTGTTGGCTTCATTTTTCAGCTGCTTTTCACTCACAGGTATGAAATACTGACATGACACACAGATGGAAGAGAAAGTAGCGGAACAAACATTATAAAGTGTCTGAGAAATGTGTTTTTCCACTACAGGCATCTGAAAAAGCTTCAGCACTCCTTGATATAGATTTTCCACGGACAGCAGGAAGTGTACCGGCTGGACGGACACCATTCTTCCAAAAAGATTTTTCCCTCATGTGGTGTTTTGATGATGGTGGTGGAGAGAGCTGTCTGACATGTCGGTCTGAGTAAAAACACACCACAACATTGAAAGACAGAGAGCGTACGGAGTGTTGGGAGGTAGATGGTGAGAGAGGGGGTGTATGGGGTCAAAATAACAAGGGGGATTGTTTGCAGAGAAATGAGAGGTAAAATGAGAGAGAACAGTGAGAGACGGCCCGGGCTGAGAGGGACTGAGAGGGGGCTCATGTTAGTGGCAGTGTAGATGACTGATGTAAGGACAGCCCAGCTGTTTATACTCGATATAATGACACCAGCACACATAGTTATGGTACAAGGTTATAATGTGATTACATTACCGCCGTGACACAGAGTCACAGCTCTATCAGGCACCAAGGATCAGCTGTCAAACAAAACACTGCAACTTTTGATTTAAAGTACTACAGTTTCTGACTGAGGTGACATTTTTAGAAATATGTTCTCATCTTGTCGTAGTTTAAGATGTTATTTGTATTTTCCAAGAAACACAGCTACAAACATCCTGCTCTTTTCCTCAACACGAAGCCAGACAGTATTCCAGTCAATAGAAATAGAAGCATTCAGTTTTCTCGGAAGTGAAGCATGGCCTTATTCCCACCCCCCATCCCCCACCCCCAAAAGCACCCCGCCTTGCCTGCTGCACTCCCAGCTGGCCCGTAGAGACGAGACAGTTCGCGTGGGCGGAGGAACAGATGAAGTAGGCGGTCCACTGTGAGTGTGTGTGCGTGCGTGCGTGTGTGTAATAGCAAAAGGAAGTGTGTGTGCGCGAGGGTCGGCTTCGTTCGAGGAGCGTTTAGGGGGAAGAGACAGGGGACGTTTGGTTCAGTCAGCCAAGAGAAGCAGACATCACACTGTAGACTATCATCCAAACGATCATCAGCCATGGATCGCTACATATTAGAAATGACAACTGCTGACTGGCAAGAGTCACTCTTGAGTCCAGGAGAGGTAATATAGATGTTGTTGAGATGCTTCGTGAACAAACAAAACAAAACACAAATGGGCCCTCAAATAAATTCAGGGGCAAAGTTTTGTTTACATGCCAATGTAAGCGCAGTCAGTGTTGCTACACTTTCACATCCCAGGCTTTGTGTAGAGTGAAGTCTTTTTTTGTGTGTCAGAAACTTGAGGATTTTTTCCTGGAAAGACCTAGGAGATACAAGTTTTTACAGCAGCTGAAGTGAAAGCTCTTATCAACTAGATGTAAAACCAAATTCATGTTACAGCAACAGGTGAGAGTGAGACGCCAGGTGTACCATCAGTCAGTTGATTGCACGTCCTTTTACTGGTCACAAGCATTAGAGTGTGTGTTTCTGTGTCTACACTGGTTGATGGCTGACTTTTGCAATTATTATTGCTTTCTAATTTTCTGCATCACAATATTAGTTTGAGTTTAGTAAGTGAAACGTCTCCCCATTTTTTCTCCTCACTTTCTATCAAGTGAAACATCCTGAGCCGCCTCCTTTGCAAAGGGACCTCACTTTACTCTAAACTGTGGTGAGCGATGTTGAACAGAAGGTTTAATTCAAACTGGTCGACTTAAAGGACGACTATGTCAGCAGTAGGAATGACTAACTTTTACTCAGTGGAGAGGCAAAACAAGAAGTAAACACAGCAGGACACACGTTTGCTATTTCCTACCTGTTGTTACCTTCCTTCGTCTTATGATGACGTCTTTGCAACTGTCTCAAAAGCAAAGAAAAGTTTGCGTTAATCATCAACTCCATGTGATATTCTGGCCACAGTGGCAATAAATAAAAGATCGATTAATGGATAGAAGAGACGATGAGAGATAAGATGACAGAAGCAGCGGAGTAGATAATGGAAGGAGAAAATGAAAGCAATGTCTGAAGTGTCTCCTTCTCTATCTAACCCTTCCATCTCTTCTACTGTATTCTTTTCCTTTTTTGATCTTTTTCCTCTTCTTCACGTCATTCTCCTCTGTGCCTTTATCTCCTTTTCTCCTCTCTTATCTCCACCTCTCCACTCTACTTTCCTCTTCTTCTCAGGTCTGACCTTTACCTTCCTCTTAGACCTAAACACTTACGTGCTCTGTTCCCTGGATTTCCTTTCCTCTCTGTCACCTTTTTTTTTTTTACGCCCTGATCTTTCTTTCTTCTTGTTTCTCCTCTTTCCTTATCTTCTTTGCTTCCTCTCCCTCTCTCCATCTCTCTTGTGGACCAAGCAGTCCAATAACAGCTGGGGGAAATTATGCATGAAAACTCATCCGTCGCTCTCTTAATAATTATCCACTCATGCAATTAATTGTCTTTCCTTTCCAGGAACTTTGTTTTCTGTTTCCTGGTTCTGCTTTTCTCTCCCCGGGCTGGTTTTCCCTTTTTTTATTCCATTATATTTGGGTCTTTTTTTTTTCTTTTTTTTTTGGACAAGCAAAGATTGAATTTGGCAGAACTCAGACACCAAGAAGAAAAAATTCAGCTCCTTACATTTTTCAGCTTCTGTCTTCCAATGAAATGTGGATTTTCCTCTTAAGTGTCATATTCAGATTTATACAAATTCTAAATTAGACACAAAACTGTCTTGTGTTTTCAACCCCACATAATAACATGTCCCTGACTAAAAGTATCTGGATCTGTTATTGTTCTTTAATGGCTGCCTATCCCTGTATTCCCCTCATGCTTCTGACTAGTCTGCGTTTTAGTTCTCATTTATTGTGTTTGTGGGCGTTTTTCCTCATCATATCTTTATTTTCCAGCCTTACTGTCTAGCCTCTTTTTATAAGACCCAGACACCTGAAATGATGCACTGTGCTCTGTTAGCATTGTCTTTGCTTTTTGTGTCTGGCTCCTCATCTGACCCATATATCCTGTTCATGGTGCTGTCGTCATACTGTCGTACACTTCGAGCTTAATCTTGTGCTGTGATTCTTATATCCACCGTCCATCTTTGTAATCATTGCCATCGGTTGATCATAGTGAGGGAGCGTCATGTAATTACTGGATTACCCTCCACTGCTTTTCATATCATAATGAAATTGGGATTACAGTATTACAGACTGATAGCATCACGCTAGTAGAACTTGTCACTTTATAATTCATCTGTGCTGGCAAGTTTGTGCTTTCCATGGCCCAGTGGGTATGGTGGAATTTGTTGTACCAAATGTTACTGATAATATATTAAAAAAAAAAGAAACTTGGCTTCAGTCCCCCTGGTTTTGCATTTCAGCAAACACAATTGGCATTTGTCATAAGTGGGATGCCAGATTTCTAAGAATTACACTTAAAAAAGCTCTGAAGTACCAACTGGAGAGGAACAAAGCTCTTCACTGAGTGAAGGAAATTAACAACAATCTGATACATTTATAATATAGAAATTATAATAATAATGATGAATTCATAGGAAATCCTGCTGTTGGTAGACAAGGTACGTCAGATAACTGTGTGCAGACAATGATGTGGAGACAGTCAATAAAACCAATGCTGGTGAAGTTGCGTAGCATCCTATCGAATGTTCAAATGCAAATAACTATAGACTGTTAATGTACTGCAGTCATCTACGATCTACTCTTAACCAACTTATGACAATATTTTATAGTCAAAAGAAGTTTGGTAAAAAAATTTTTGTCGTTTTTAATTTTGTGAGTACAAATTAAGGAATTTGACTCTTATCTTTCACTTTAGTCCAAAATTTTACATCTAGCACTTTGATAAATGCAAGCTCAGGTCCTTGTATGTCACTGGCAGGTGAAAAAAGAAGCTGCTGGTGACAAGTGGCATCACAGATGTAGCACATTTCTGCCTGGAGTTAGCAATGACCAGGATTTCAGTGTTTAGCCAAATGACTTAATCAAAATTTTGAGGAAATTCAGGAGAATAAGTTCAAACAATTTATTCAAAAGACTTTACTATCTACTATTATTATCTACTATTCTGTACTATCCACTTCTGTCTCCATAAGGGTCTACAAACCACGAGTCTTCCTTGGAACAGTTTATACGACAGCTGATGTTAGAAAGTGGATGATGCAAAACAGCTAATAAATTATGATGGCTTCCTCCATTTTGGACTCTCCAGCTCTGTTTTTTTCACTGTTTTGAATTGTTCACACGTCAAAGTTCACCACGATCGAACTCCAGATTAAAGACTCAGATCCTCTTCACCCCAGCAGATTTCATTGAAATGAATTTATGTCGCCAAAGAATTTAATTGTCTTAAATGCCGATGTGACTGAGCTTGTACAAGTTTGCATAACTGGTTCATGGGATTATTTGATCACAAGTAATCTGAAGTACAGTCGAGGGGCCTGCTAGCAGAGCCTTTCTGATAAATTACAAAGCCAATGCTTCACCATCCTTTATCCTGACATCGTCTCTGTTTCTCCATCTGCCTCTTTTCTTCGTAGCTTTCGCAGAGCTTCAGACAGACATCCACGAGCTGACCCAGGAGCTGGACGGGGCCGGGATCCCCTTCTTGGATTATCGGACATATGCGATGAGGGTCCTGTTCCCTGGGATTGAGGACCACCCCGTGCTCAAGGAGATGGAGGTACGGGTCAGTACACCACCAACCGAACCTGAAACTGAAACAACCTTACCAGAAATAATCAAGGGGTAGAAACATTCAGTAGCTGCTTATGCTAACTACAAGTAGCTCCCCTCAGCGAGATGAGAACATACTGTACATACGTGCAGAGAAGTATTTGTGACAAGTGCTTTGGAAGTTAGATTTAATAGCACAGAAATGTCCTCTTGGCTTTGGTGCTTAATACCTTTGTAGCCATTACTCCGTGACAGGTTTCATCAAAGACAGGTCTCCGAGATGCGAAGCAAGAAGAACTCCACACATGCGTCACCTTAAAGCAATCTCACAGCCCATATTTTACCTACTTTATCTTAATGTATTCAGCTTGTCTCAGTGAATGCGAATGACTTTTCAAGAGCCTTAGTCATTAGTCTGAACTCATGGGACAGATGCTCATCACGCTCTCATGATGTAGGGAAGTGGAGTTTTCAAAGTGAGATTGACTGAAAAGAAATGTTATATAAGAAATACACGAAGTTAAAGGATGTAAAAAGAGGAGAGGAAAGATGAAGCAAAAGATGAGAAAGCAAAAGCAAAAGATAGCGAGAAGATTAGACCAGAGAGGGAGAAATAAGATTCAGGGTTACTGGGATTGTTACTTGCATTATACATCACTGTTAATTTATTAATTAAGCCAGTACATGCAACTACCTTTCAGCACAGCTGAATGGAGATAGTGCACCGGATTTATAAAGACGTTTTACTGCCGAGGGAAGTAGAATTAATAGTATGTCAACAGAAACTACCCTCCTCCAAAGCTCGAAACCAAGAGTGCCAAGTTTGTAATCAACAGTATCATTAAGACGTAGAATCTGGTGCTGCTCCATTGACTTTGATTGGAGCACTGACTTTTTGGAGTCAAGGAATAATTTGTTTGACCTTTTACAGCTTCATTTAATCGCTCTAATCCAGACAGTGGATTTATATTCCTAGAAAAAAAAAGCCCTCTGGGGTTTCATAGATGCCATTTCTGCCTTTTTTTGATTCGTTCTTAGTGACTTATCCTCTGCTATTTTTGGCTAGAAGGAACAGTGGTGATTACTTAAACGCAAAAAAATTATCCTCGGATACAGAAAAGAAGCTAATTATGGTTTCCAGCAGAGAATAAAGCTATAACGTAAAAGTACTTATAATGCAAAATATGAAAGAGTTTACTGCTTTACTGCTTTTCAGTCAGTAAAGCTTCATGACATAATTCACTCCAGGGTTCAAGTTCTACAGCATTTTAAGGAACGTGACTCTAGTGTTGAACTTGCTTATCAGATTAAATCAGATATAAATTGTTTTTAGATATAATTAGCTTGAGCTTTCAACAATTATAAAGCTATAAGTAACTAAAACTCAAACATTTAATTACGTTTTTCAATCTCCTTTTATTGTCTGAGACGCCAGAAACACTAGTTTTCACTTATGCTGCTAATTAAAGTTCACAACCTATAGATACAACCTGAAACTGAGATGAGTATAAAATGTGAAATGTTGATTAAATGTATTAAAATAGCAAATGTAGCCGACTTCTTACATTTCAGTTTTCATTAGATAGTCATTTCAAATACTCAAGGTGCCAATTGAAAATTATCAACCTAACAGGATCAAAGCATTGACATTATATGCATTAAGATTTAACCTGGATACTGCTGCATTTAACATGATGTAGAGAAGATGATGTTTGAAGACTTTATTGTGTTGTAGGTTTAATTTCAGATGGATAAAATTGCCATTTTTGCCCCTCAATCAACAATCAATAACCGACAAAGTGAAAACACATCTTTAGAAAAGTTCAACTGGGACCCTTTTGGCCCACTTGTCATGCACAGTGTCTTGACTGAGGATTGATCATCCTGTCACTATGAAGATATACAGTACACATGCTTAAGTTTTAGCATGTGTAAGATCAAGATACTGCACTGTAGAGACTCGACTCTGTGGCTGAGATGTCGCCTGACCTAAAATCCCCAAAACGTTCATGCACCTTTAATTTGTGGTGCCAGGCGGCCATAGATGTAAAAGGATCTTTCGTATTTTATAGTTATGTCTAGACTTCCTTCTTCTTCTATCTGTATTTCCCACAGGAGCTGCTGGTGTAATCCAATGGCCTGTGTAAACCAATGCTCCTAGCTTTATTGCTCTGTGTGACTGCTTTCTCCCCTAAGCTAGACAGCTACAACGCACACCAGTTGTGCTCTCTCTCTCTCTCTCTCTCGCACACACACAAACACACACACACACACACACACACACACACATACACACTGTCTTGCATATAGCTGGATGTACCCTTCCTGAAATTCAGTAAAGACTGTCTGTACATGCATCTCCATCTGTCTCTCTTTCTCGTTCCCTCTTGCTCTCACTCTCTATTTTCACGCACACACACACGCACACACACACACACACACACCACACATCACACTCAGTATCCACCCTGGAGGCCCGAGAATCTCATTTAGCACTTAAGAGAGAGGCCTAGACACTTTATAATGGCACATCGAAGGAGAGAAAGAATAGATGTTACAGTGGTACAAAAGGATGACAATAGGACGCCAAAGAAAGAGGGAGGTGGAAATGATGTGTGTGTGTGTGTGTGTGTGTGTCTGTGTCTGTGCGCGCGCGACAGACACACAATGACAAAGAGGAGGAGAAATTAAAATGGAAGAAAGATCAGTGATGTGAAACAGTCAACAATAAAGTGCGAGGGAGAGAATTAGAGTGGTGAGGAAGACGGAGCGAGCGAGCGACAGAGAGGTGTCTTCAGGGGCTTTAGTGTGTTGTTGATGAGTAGTGACAGGTGCCAGCCACTGGAACAAGCAGGGTGCACCCCTGTCACAAATCCTGACACACACACACACACACACACACACACACACACACACACACTGTTGTTCCCCCACGCTTCTTCTCCTCTGCAGCACTTCCTTCTTCGTCTGTTTGACCAAAGATTCTCTCTTTCATGCTGGGCTGGTTCAGGCCAGTCTGATTGGATGTTTATGGAAAGTTCCTCAAACAGGTAAAAAGCCAGAGTTCCTGGTGACAGCAGGTTGTTGAGGCGTTATTAAAACATTGAGTTAAGGGCTTTCAAGTAATAAAACTGATTGTGGTCAGAAGCTGTCAAAATAGGGCATTTTCGTACATTATTGCACTGCAAAAGTCTAACAACAAACAGAGATCGAGATTAAAGTCATAGACAAAGACAATCTATGAATACACAGGGAGCCCAGAGTGCTAAAACGCGCGGTCATTGGTCAGGACCAATGATTAAAATTCTCGTCTTTCAGCTAGAGGATGCTTTGAGCCATTCACCCCCTGATGTCAAGAAGACAATTATGTCAAATTGTCTGCTAAAATCACTTGCAGCAGGAGAGAGAGTAGCCAATCAGTCTTTCCTTGCTGTTTACAAGCCAATCTCAGCTCATCATACAGCGAAGAAAAAAAAATGTCTGCTCGCGGACGTGCTCAGAATCCGTCTTCGCTCAGAGTGAGTCAGAGCTTTGTTTTGTTTTTTTTATCCTGTATGTTATTTGAGGTATTTGGCAGTTGATTGCGCACGCACAAGTTTCACACTGGTTTCCATGACTTTTCAAACTTTTCATTCCACAAGTTCACAGTGCCCGTGTAGTATTTATGTGCTGATATGGAAAGCCTTAAAGATCCCCTCCGGACTTGCTTTAAGGCTTTTAAGATGTTTTGAATAATCAACATTGTGTTATATGGTTTTTTTTTTACACAGGTTTAATTACCTAAAAATTCTTAAATTAATCTAGTCTCTGTTGTAACTCGCCTGTCTTTCTTCAGGTCCAGGCAAATGTTGAGAAGGCATTGACGCTGTTTGGCCAGCTGCTGACAAAGAAGCACTTCCTGCTGACGTTCATACGAACCCTGGAGGCTCAGAGGTGTACATCTTTCTTTCTTTGTTATAAATAAATAAATGTTATAAATATTTTTTTTTTTAAAAACATTATTTTACAAATTCCAACAGCTTGAATAAACAATGTCTCCCACTTCTGAAAAATAACAACATAAGAGCAAAAAAAATATCATTCAGCTGTGGAAATGCAGAAAGCAGTTAAGCTGCTGGTTTAGTTCAGCCAAAAAACAAAAATGCCCTCTTGGAGAGAAACACAGTTGTTTGTCTTTCGAAAAGCATGTTTTTAGTACCTGTTTAATTTTACAAATATGACATGTGTTTTTGCCTTGGGTTCAGACAATAAAGGCAAACTTATAAAAAGAGTAAAAACATTTGCTTAGAATTACAGGAAAGCACCGAATGGTTTATGGAAAACCAGAGTCATAGATTAAATGTATATTAATAGTTAAATGAACTGTTATGAGGTTGATGGTGCACATGTATTTTGATGAGTTTTAATTAAAGAGTTTCAATGTATATCCAGGTCATTTTCAATGCGGGACAGAGGCAATGTGGCATCTCTGATCATGACGGCGCTGCAGGGGGAGATGGAGTACGCCACCGGAGTCCTGAAACAACTGCTGTCCGACCTGATAGACAGAAACCTGGAGAGCAAAAACCATCCCAAACTGCTGCTCCGGAGGTGAGGAAGAGATGCGGAACAAATATAGACTACACTGTAAAACATCATACGTCGTAACAGAAAGTTATAATTAGAAGAACAAGTGAACCACAAACCAAATCCAAGTATCTGTTAGTAAAATGTATCTACCTCTTAATCGCTTCATCCAATATTTACAGTCCAACTAGCAGAAGACAAATTAATAGAATCCACCATAGCTTTACTGAGTTGGGAACAAAACATAATGAAGTCTCACAGACTCAGAGTCATTGTTACCAAAGCATCACATATTTCACAGGACGGACAGATCCCACCGAAGCAGACTTGTGCTGGGAGGGAAAAGCTCAAATCTGGGCTCGTCAGACCTGCCCTTCCACTCAAAGGGTTATAGTGCTTTGTTTTATGGGTCTATAATTTCCTAATTATTTCCAAGACATTTGCTGTAAAATATGTATTATGTATCATGGAGTGTTTTGTTGATTTGTAATAAATTAATTCTAATTCATTGGCTTTTAGTCAGAGCACAGCAGATCAGGTAAAATTACAAAAATGTAAAAATTTGCCCACAGCCAAGCTTGCAATTCAACAATATGACATTCCCAATAATACATTAATAATGAATTCATATTTACTGGAGTTTACTTCACTTTTTGCCTTTTAAAAATTGGATCATTTTACCTTTGAGGGCCATAACAATCCTTCAGAAGACAGTTCTCACAGCTCCTGTCCGCACTGAGGCCATTACTGGCTTTATGGCTTTACTGGCAAGATAAGAAGGTTTAAATGGAACAGTTCTTCTGTTACATTCCTCTGGAAATCAACTAAACTCTCACCAAACCTTCTGTCCTCTCTATTGTTTGTATTTAGTACCAAAATATGTAGCTCTTTCCAAGAAACTTCCTAGGAAATTACGAGGAAATTATAGACCTGAAATATCCACGAAAAATTGTGTGTGTTTTCATAATCAAGTTACTCAGTAATTTGTGGCTTTTCTTTTTAATGTTGTGTCTTTTTTCCCTCTTTTCCTCAGAACCGAGTCTGTCGCTGAGAAAATGCTGACCAACTGGTTTACATTCCTCCTGTATAAGTTCCTGAAGGTAAACCCGATGACGCATAATCATATAATATCTTCATTCAATCTGTTTACTGTGTCTTTTAAATGCTAAACAATAGTCTTCATCTAAAGTGGATTTATATTGTGTGCGTCTATGCTGCCTGTATGTTAGAGAGTTTTATTAAATGCCTCTGGCTTATATTATTTCTCCACTGCATTTATCTCACTGTGGTTATTAAAAGGCTTTTTTTTTTTTTTCCAGCTGCATATTTTCTTTGCCTTACACATGCAGTAGATAATCAAAGCCTCCCAGCAAAATGCCTTTCTTCTCCTTTAAGTTGTTTAATGTCCCTTTTTTTTCTCTCTCTCTCTTCCGTCCTCATAATTTCACTCCTGTAGCCGACACGTCCTCTTCCCTGATCTTAATGTCATCCTCGGGGGGGGGGGGTCACATTGGTTGTCATTATACTGTATACTGAGCATGATTATAGTGCGGGCATGTGTAATGTGCTGAAAATACAGTCAAACCGTTATTTTAAATCCCTTTTACTTTCAGCCAGAAAATAATAAATACATGTCTCTGACCAGTGCATTTCTGATTTATAATTTCCACTGTTCGTTAGCTATGTAGGAATCCGAGCCTATTCATCTCCCTGTACAGCAGGAGCCATCATTATATCCTCAAAATGTAAATATGAGCATACAATTAGGGGAGCCTTAATGAAGGCGGTGTGGAGGAAGGGCAAATTTCATAGACAAGCGTGCAGTGGCCAAAGCGACGAAGGCGGAAAGCTGAAGCTAAAGCACAACAGTGTGATGCATGCTCTCTGTGTCTCGTTAGCGGCTACCCACCTAATTGGCCCAGATGCTAACAAGGTCCTTAATGCGTACAACACTGGAACGAGAAAGGGAAGAGAGAGAGAGAGAGAGAGAGAGAGAGACAGAGGGGCAAGGAGGGAGGAGAGGGTTAGAGGCGAGCATCAGAGGTGGTGGGGAGGGGGGAGAAGAATAGCGGGAGACATGACAATTAGGAGTTAAAAAGAGGAGAGGGGGAGAGAAGGAGAGACAGGAAGGAGGTGAGGAAGAAGGAGGTAGGAGTCGCAGAGGAATAGGCAGTGTGCTGTAAGGGATGTAAGAAGAGGAGCGAGGATGGAGGAGGGAAGAACATTCAAGTAACAGAAGAAAAAAGGCTGAAATTAAAGCAGATGGTGGAAAAGACATCGGTAGCAGGCGATCCTCACCTAGAAATGACGTTTATACACAACATAACAACATTTTGTAGAACATAGAATGTAGTTGTGACCGAATTATGTTTCCTATTAATGTAATGAGGGAACGTTTTGTACATTTACATATTTGACAGGTTGCAAATATGTTGATACTAAACGTATCAGTAAAATGTTCACGGACAACGAGTTTTGTTTTCCTGTGGCTACAGCATTATCAAACCTTTTTATGATTCTGTTTAGACTCTCACAGCACTTGGTTAAATTTAGGGGAAAGATGGTGGTTTAATACGGAAATAGTCCAAACACGTGTTTATTTACATTTAATCAAAACCACCGTCTTTCCCTGGCCTTACTAAAGCATAAGACAGGACTGTGGATGCTTTGTACAGCCATCGTCCACCCCAACCACTTCCTGGTGACACCGCTGCTGTTAATAAAGTGAGAGCTTCATTCAAACCCAGCCAGTGATTACGTTGCCACCACAGTGTAATTGAGAAAACAGTTCAGTTGTATGTGAACATAATTTCTTGGAGACATGGTTGTAGCAGGAAGGTTGAACAGAATCGAAGTTGGAAATTAGTTTGTAAGTAGCAGGATGTGGTTGCTCCGTGTTGCTGAGATGGATAGAATAAATTAAAAGTTACAACATCATGATTTCCCAAACTTTCCAAAGATGTGAAATATGTTAGTTGTGTGTGAAATCATGCACAAGATATCTGCAATACTTCCATCTGATGGAATGATGCTACAATATAAACTCATGGTTGTGAGGTTAGACTGGTGCATAATATTGTTGCTTGTGACTCTTCTGAATCAGGGCTCTTAGCTGCTAAATGCTCCACTATGTTCACCAGCTTGTAGCTAGGAGCTATAAAGCTACTGAAGAGTTAGACGATAATTCTCTGTGGGTTCGGCACTACTTTCACACACATGTAATCCATTGTGAATACAAAATTTTAAATTTTTTAATTTTTTGTAAACAAACAAGTTCTGTTTAAATCCACAGTTTCTGTCCAGAAAGCACTGTGCATATCTTTGGGGTCTAAAAAAGTATCTTATTTTTGTATCGAGTAGATTTTACTTCCTTGTTAAAAACATTTCCAGAGGTGACAGCGCTCCTAGTGGTCAAAAACTTTACACCTTTAAACAACTTCAGGAGAAATAAGGGGGAAAACAAGATGCTGACACTTCCACTCATGTGGCACACACTGTTTTGTTTCCATAGCAAAGGCTCCAGTGTGGTAAAAGATCATTAGTTACTGACATGTATTTTTCAAGCAGCTTGTTATGACCCATAGTTGCATTTTACTGTTAGTCGACCTCTAATGGCAACGGAGCAATGGAAGAAGTCCGGTGACGCACGAAGAGCGACAGAACCCACAAATGCTGCATTTTTATCGTTACCATGACGATGAATTCCAGTATATCTTATCCTATCTATCCGATGGCTCATATTCGGGAGAAGGGACAAACAATCTGACCAAATAGTATCTGACCAAAACAGGTGACTACTACCTCAGTCTGACGTGACGTATAATAAACCTGTCATAGTTCATAAAACCCAGGACATTAGCATCATATACGTCCTAAATTACAACAGTAGATACAGGAGGAACATAGTGTATGTGTGAATGTAAGAGAAAGAGATGAAGAAAAATCGAGGAGGAAAATCAAACAGTAAAAGGTTGAAGATTGGTTTCACAGGGAGAGAGGAAAAAAAGAGGAATGTGTTAGAAAGAAAAAGTGAGTTGTTGAGTGTGCTTGAAGGTGAGACAGATAAATTAGTACTTTTCCCTGTTCTTGTCTGGACCTCATGCATCTCCTACACACACACACACACAGTCTGAAGTATATCCCTGAGCACTGCGCGGTCGATCATTAAACTCTCGTCAGGATGAGTATTGGCCGTGATGTGTCCTCTCTCTCCCCTCTAAACTGCCGCCGCTTCAGTCGGGAGTGTTTTCCTTGAGCCCAAGTGATGACTAATGACACCATTGATTGGCAAGTGTCTTTGATGGAGGGGAGAGTGGGAAACATATTTATAACATCTGCGTCTAGCCACATAAGCTCTCCGATGTAAACGATGGGAGAGACCTGAAAAAGATTTATATAACTGGTGTTTTCAGTCTGTCAGTCCTCCAGACACAAAGAGAAAGAAAGAGATGTTTACATAACACCACAGTGTCCTTCACATTTTCAGACATCACATCAAGAAGATTTCAAGGTCTGATGTCTAAAACTCCACTGCTGTGTTGCACCACTTGGTGCAAAAAAACACTGACTGGTCTGTCTATATTTTCCTCCTCCTCTTCTGTCTGCATCTCACAGGCTGGGAACTTGACTGCAGTGTCAAAATGACCATTTCCACATCTGGTTTTGAAGATCTGATACCAATTTAAGCCAATGCTACGGTGGCCCTGAGAGCTCAAAACACATGCAAATAGACAGAACCCAAGCAAATTCAGAAAAATATATCTGCATCAATTTGACACACCTGTGCTGCAAATACTCACAACACAACGGAAGTGTTTTCAGGGGACACGGAAAATTGATGAACCTGGCTGGGACGCACTTTGTTGTTTAATGCTTTGTGCACTTTTGAAGTTAAAAGCATTGAACGACAAGTGTGCATGTTGCATGGATGTGTTATAAATGCATCCATTCAAGTGTGTCCCAGCCGGGTCATCGCTTTTTACTGTCCACTGGAAACACTTCCGTTGCGTTGAGAGTATTTGCGGCGCATGTGTTGTCAAATTGATGAGGAATGATGAAGAGAGATGTTTTCTGAATTTGCTTGTGTTTTGACTGTTTGCATGTGTTTTCTTAAGTTGAATGCGTTGAGCTCTCAGGGCCACCGTACAATTCCAGTTTGTTTGACCTGTGACTTCATGGTGTGATCAGCACGACGAACAACTGTAATATTCATTCACTAAGTAGTGAAGTAGAGTTTGAGAGATGATACATTTAATGGTTTTAATTTTTGAATCTGTGCTGATTTCACTCATTAACCTCTTTTTACAGGTGGTCATAATGTTTTATTATAGAAACCTGTTTGCTTTTTGACCTGGAATCCACATTAGCGACTCACAGCGCTGTGGGTGGTTTTTGCATGTATACACATATAGCCTATTAAAAAAAGTTATTCAAACCATGAGTAATAATGACTTTTAAGTCATCAGAGAGGTAAAATTCTACCAGTGGACAATGACAGGTAATTTTACTAAGGTTATGTAGCCAATTTCTTTGGCACGCAACAGTCAAATTGCTTTCTTCTTTATTCGGGACAACACTGAGGTTTTGTGCCGGTAATATGGAAGAAGGGCGGCGGAGCTATAACTGGCATGCTTGGTCTCATGCAACATGTATTCCTGTTCAGAGGGAATACACAAAATACGGGAGGAAAGAATTGGAAATGAATACAGAGCAGCAGAGAAAAACTGGGTCTAAAATGTAACTTAAAGATTTGATTTGAAGATTGTGTGCCTGGGAAAAGCAGGTGTAAAAGGAGTGAAGCAGACGGACAGAATGAGAAAGAGAGAGAGAAAAATGCAAATTAAAAAAAGTGCGTGAAGTTAGTTTACCGGAGCTTAAGAAAAAAAAAAGCGCAGCAACACCACAAACTGCCCCACACAATTTTGCCGCAATCCACCCTCTGCTTATTTTTCCCAACATATAGTAGCTGTAGATGACTTTAGGCTTTGTAATTAATATTTCCTCACATACAGCCTCCTGCTGGATGAAGTGTCCTCTCCTCAACCAATATAACAAGTTTGGCGGCAGAAAACACTTCCTTGTACGTTTATTGCTTTCTAGAGATGCACAACTCGTGTCAAACAGCCTGTTACTTTATTTAGTGACACTGTTAATCAAGTGAATTGTGTGCAGCTCATTTACATCCAGTCTCTTAATATGCACTAAATAAAACACAAAATTTTGCAGGTCCGACTGCGTTTTTGCAAATGTTTCCACATACTGGCTTTAAATTGAATCGTTTTGTTGTTATTTAAATTCTGACTATATTTTCTCCAGCCAGACGATTATGAACCCCGTGAGATGAGTGATGAAGAAAGAAAAAAACATTTTTCAGAATCTTTTGTTGTGAAATTGTGGACAATGTTCCTTCTCTTCGAGCCTCTAACCATTATTCAAATGAAAGAATTTGTGCAAGGAAAATCACTTCCTGGTAGAACTGCTGGCAATTCGTCTGTCTCTGTTTTCTCCCTGCCTAGGAGTGTGCTGGGGAGCCTCTGTTCATGCTTTACTGTGCCATCAAGCAGCAGATGGAGAAGGGACCCATAGACGCCATCACAGGAGAAGCCCGCTACTCCCTCAGCGAGGACAAGCTCATCAGGCAACAGATTGACTACAAAACACTGGTCAGTAAACCCACTGTGTCCTGGAGGCTTGTGTCTGCCTTGCTTTGGTCTGAATCACTGCATGACTTGTTAAGTTTTGGTCACATTTGATAATGATAGAAAGTTTAAAGCAAACTCTGAGTAATCAGCAGTAGAAATGTGGGAGCCTCCTTTTCCTAAATTAATCTGGAGTCTGCTGTGGGGGGAAGGATTTCATCCAGGGTAAACACGAAGCTTCGGCTTCAGTTGTGTTTGGAGTGAGAATATGATCTGGCCGTGAATCGGCCCAGCTACTGCTCAGCGTTAATCACGCTGTCTTTCCAAACAAAGCACTTCAGGTTTGGATTGGAAACGTACAGACAAACCTGGTTGTCAGCAGGATCCGCTGTAGTTGTTTTGGTCGGCATCCAAGTGTGCATCCTGAGTTATTATTTTCCCTAACAGTCTGAACGGACCAGGAAAATGTCCAGCTGATAAAATAGCTGCAAACAAACTAGGTGTGAAAATGTTCTCAGGTACTTTCAAATGCACCTAAACAATCATCTAAACATGTCAGTAGTTCGCAGTGCTCTTGCTGTGTCTCTACTTAAGCCTTTTTCTTTTTTTTGTCTTTTTCCATTTCCCTTTGTTTCTACCTGTTTTTCTGCCAGACGTTGCACTGTGTGAACCCGGAGAATGAGAACTCCCCCGAGGTGACGGTCAAGTGTCTGAACTGTGACACCATCACTCAGGTCAAAGAGAAGCTGCTCGATGCTGTGTATAAGGGCAGCCCCTATTCACAAAGGCCAAAGGCTTCTGATATGGACCTGGGTAAGACAGACAGTGCTGTACATGCATGCATGTGCACGGGTATAATGATGGGAATGCACCCCAGCTTGTTTTAGCTTGAGCACACCCCCGTTCACATTATTCATTTAGATCCAGATGACCAAGACGGTGGACCATAGCTGCACTGGTCTGAACCGCTACCTAATGTTAGTAGATGCGGTAGAGGTAATGGAGATGGTTGGTCAGGGGAAAAAGGATGTAGATTTTTACAATCTTTAATTATTTATTATTTATTGATTCTATAAAACAGGATTTTCTGTGGAAAAGGGTGAAAAACTGAAGCTGCAATAGCCACCATAGTCTGGGACTAGAAGCAGTTTATAGTCAAATTCAGTTTATGGTATGATTAAACTTATATTAATGATTTTTTTTTTTTTTTTTTTTTTTGCTGCTTGGAGGCTACGCAACCTGTAAACACAACATTCACATATTATCAGCTTATAAAGTGGCTCATTTACATATCCTGCAGGCACAGTGTAACATAGGCATTAATCAGGAGTCACGTCCGTGTCCGCACCAATTTCTGAGGAAAATATCTGGCTCCTTAGCTGCTAAATATGTTCACAAACTGTGCCATTTGGTGGTGAGCAGGTAGTGTGCAGTGGGTTTATCAGAGCTTTTTTGTTGAAAACAGCCACCTGCTGCTGCTGCTGCTGCTGCTGCTGCTGGCAATAACATTGGATTGGTGAGAGCCTTCAGAATGAACCAAAACAGTAGAGTTTGCAAGCAAGCGGACTGAAAAAAATGAAGCGCCAAGTGCCAAAAAACTGCAGTTCCTCAAATGGCAAGATGCTTCACTCTGAGCTACAAAGCCACTCTTCAGAAACTCAATGAGTGACGTCACAGAGGCTTCGTCCGTCTTTATTTACCATCAATGGTTGCAATCCTGAAAAACCGAAACAACGAACTAAAATCTCAAATGCTCCACAGAGCTGAAGGGAACTGTCAGAGTCAGATGAGCCATTGTTGATTTAAAAATATTACTTTGAGCAGTTTTTTTTACTTACTCAAAAACATGAATGGATAGATTGAAAATGGATTCATTCATGTAAACTGAAGATGATTAACATTAGATTAACACTAGAAACAATTAAAACGATATCTGATATCTGTGTTTTGATGGTCAAATGAAACATACACACAAATACTCACAAATAGAGCTCTTGTGCTGTGTTGTTGTGTTTTTCTAAACCTCTCGTCCCTCTTTTTGAAGAATGGCGTCAAGGTCGGATGGCCAGAATCATTCTGCAAGATGAAGATGTCACGACTAAGATCGACAATGACTGGAAAAGACTCAACACCTTGGCTCACTATCAGGTACTGGAGCACTCAAAACGGGCGCGAGGCAACAGTCGACAGCTAAGACGGTTTCATACTGAGAGTATTTTGGTGTGTGTTCTGCTGCGCAGGTAACAGATGGCTCAGTGATCGCCCTGGTGCCAAAACAGAACTCTGCCTATAACATCTCCAACTCCTCCACCTTCACCAAGAGCCTCAGCAGATACGGTACGGCTCCCGTTCTCCTCCTCTCTTGATCCTATTTGAATCATTCTGTCAATGATTCCCATTTCTCTAACTGCCCCCCCCCCCCCCCCCCCAACTCACTTTCATTCGCTCTTTCTCTTTGTTTATCGTTGCCATGATTGGGCTCCATTTTTTTTTCACCTCCCTCTGAGTGAATAGCAATCCTTTTTTATCCATCGCTATCAGCCCAGGCCAAGGCTATTCCACGGCTATTTCCAAGCAGTCCGTAAATGACAGGCATTAAAGTAGACACCTTGATCCCCAGCTGAATGAGTGAAAGAGAAGCGAGGGAGAGAGAGAGAGAGAGAGAGAGAGAAAGGACACCTGGCAGTTAGATAGACAGATAAACACAGGCCCAATATCAATATGGTATACCTTCACTAGAAAATTAAACTATATAGAAGATAAATTACTCTGTAGTAAAAAAAAACTGGGCCCTTGTCTGATACTAAGTGGTAATGACCCTCACATACACACAGCTGCCACTGGTCTGCTGTCGACCCAAGGCGACTGGATTTCCTTTAAAACTACCCATGACTAAAATCAAACATTTGAGTAGAATTCTTTTTTTCTTTTTTGTGTGTGTGTTTGTGTGTAGTATGAAATTGGACATGTCCAGTTTTTTCTCACATTTACTGCAGATGCTGGTGACAGTTGAGGAGCCTGTCAGCGAATAAACCTTTATTGAAATGTACAAAACAAGAGAGGAAAAGAAGTGAATGGGATGAGGAGTGGACTCAGAGAGGAAAACAGATTTTAAAGTTGGACAGGTTGAGATTGTGGCGAAATCTGATTGGCTACCGACAAACACCTGAAGTCAGCTTATTAGGATAAGTGGGGTGAGAGAGAATTGTGAACGAATGAGGCATAAAGATCTTCCTGATTGAACTTAGCTACTTCTCTGTTTGCTCATCAAAGTGATGGTCTTCAGCAAAATGAAGGTGACCATTTTCACCACCCCCTCCTATGGTACCGTATTTATTTAAACATGTAATAACTGTTTTTGTTGGCCACTTGGGCGCTGCAGAAACAAGCTGCAAACATGACGCTGACATATTATCATCTTTTAAGTTGGTATGGTAAATATGTCACAGCAGCAAACAGCTGTCTGTTTACACATCCAGGAGACACGGAGCAACAGTGTACAAGGGGTTAAACAATATGGCTCTCAATAGGAAAACTACAGTAATACACACTCTGATCGTTGTTTATAGGAATATATGAATGTATATTTAAATCAATGAAATTTTGTATCTCTGCTGTTGATATTTATTTTTGTTATTTCTTTTATTTTCCGCACTCGGGTCTCACTTGTAAATGAGATCTCAATCTCAGTGTGACTTCCCGATTAATTCAAGTATATCTACAAGTAGTCATGAGATCAAGTGTTGATACAGAAAAATATTGATTATGGCCGCTTCAAGTCCAATTTCTCGACAAATATCTCAAACTGTGCTGTATCTATATGGAGGCAGCTTGATTTGAATAAGTTTGTAAGCATGGGAATCAGTGTATCACACCACTCCTACACTGAGTGATAGACTAATGAGGAGAAACGTAGTTTGGGTAAATTCAGTTTCTCACACTGTTGAAACCCACCGCTGCAGCTGCTTTGCTTCACACTGAATACATTATTATTGTTTTTTTTAAATGTGTGGTTGCTTGTTCATCTTTGCTTTTTGGTTCGACTGTGATCGTGTGGGTGTGTGAGTGTATGTGTGTTTAGGAACAGACAGTGGCCATGATAGGTTTGGAATCAGAGCCACTCAGTTCCCCGCTGGCAAGAGCAACATCACCCCACTCAGCCTCTTTTACTTTTCTGTCCTCTGCTCTCCCATTACTCTCCATTTCACCCGTCTCTCCCCTGACCTTTTTGTCTTTCTGTGCATTTACCCCACCCTCCCCTGTCTTTCCTGTCACCCCCCCACACACACACACACATTCAGTCTTTCCCCTCCTCTCTACATCCTTTCACCAAACATAAAGGGATTGCAACATGCATCAGCATCTCGCTCTCTTTTTTTATCCCTCCACCTCTTCTATCCATTAGCTGTTGTTCCTTCTTCCCCAGGAGCAACATCTACTCAGCAGATCCTCATCTCCCCCTGTGCACCTCACCTCCCTGGTTATACCCCCCCACCCACCCACCCCCTCATTCCTAAATGGATATGCATAGGATATGTCATAGATGATTTGCTTCACTCTAATCAACGTCGACGCTCACACCATGAATAATGAAAGCGACACAGATGACAGAGGAAAAGGGGGGGGGGTTATTACAGAAACACAGTGTTTTGGGTGATTGTTGGTCTGGTAAAAAGCTCCTAACAAGGAAAATTTGTTTTATTATTTTTTTTTTTTTGGTTCGCTGAATCACAAGGTTTCTATGGGAACCTGACATAATTGTGTCTCATGTGTCTGGGTTTAGAGAGTATGCTGAGGACAGCCAGCAGTCCAGACAGCCTACGATCCCGAACACCCATGATCACCCCTGACCTGGAGAGTGGCACCAAACTGTGGCATCTGGTGAAGAACCACGACCACTCGGACCAGAGGGAGGGCGACCGAGGCAGCAAGATGGTCTCTGAGATCTACCTGACCAGGCTGCTCGCTACAAAAGTAAGACAGCGAGGGCGTAAAGTAGTTTTTTTTTTTGTTGTTGGTTTTTTTTATTTTATTTTTTTTACCACATATATATAAGTAAAAAAAAATAGATACTGCCCAAGCCTAGCTGGACTCAGTTGCACCTGAAACCATCCTGGTTTGGTTTGTGAGAGGAAATCTGAGACTTTGAATAGGAAATGTAGTAGGTAGCAGGACCGGCCTGTATTTCTCAACTTGAGATGGGTTTAGAGTTATTCAACAGAGTAACCAACACTGAAGGGACCAGAGCTTTAACACTGTAGGTATTGCAACCAAAGCCAGTGAAGCATTTATCATGTGCTTGACCACAGGCACAATGGTGGTAGAGATAGGCTGAAGGAGAACACACACACACACACACACACACACACACATACACACACACACATACACACACACACACTGTCATGTCTCCATGACCTAACCTCAACCTGAACCTTAACTTAATCTTATAACACGTCTTCACCATAACATTGAATGCTTTACGCTTTAAGGGGGACTGCCCATAAAGAAGAAAAGTCCTCATAATTTGACTGCGTAAACAGATGTAGGTCCCCACAACACCAGTAGTACCTGAAATACACATACACACACACATAAACACACACACAACCAGACCCATAACCATGCTCTCCATCTTAGAAACATGCAGCATGAGCCAATCCAGCTGTCTCTCCTTTTCTCCTTCAGCATCTCTCAGTTCACTGTCTCTTCCCTAATTGTAAGAGGGGGAGGGAAATATAGCAATGGGCAGCACTTACAAGCGAGCTGGCTTTTCAATTTCCACTCGTAATAAGAAAAAACAGATTAATAAAAGGTGGGCTTGTGGTGCAGAGTTCAGGGAGGCAGATACAGGAGGTGTCGGGCGACAGGTAATTTGTTGAGGGATTGAAGATTTGGCCATGCATGATGAAAAAACAGAGAGGCAAATGCAATTGAGAAGCTCATCTTGTCCCTGTCTCTCCATGGCTGTCTTTCTGTGTCGGCCTGCCCGGGCGTCTCATCTATGCAGATCTCAATACTTTGATCCGCGACTGGGACAGAATTCATTCCTGTTCCATTTCATGACGGCTGACTAAATACAATCCCCAAACATTTCCCCAGTAATAGATTCTGCCAGATGGAGAAGGTAGGGAAACAAATGTGTTGTTAGGGAAATTCACTTAGCTACATTTGATGTAATTATGCTGAAGCATCGTCATTGGAGGAAGCACCATCCCAATCCAAGAGCTGGGGTTCCTGTTTGTGATTCTGCAGAGCTCAGTGGGGAGAGAGGCAGTCACAAGAGCCACATTTATTACTCTGATTCCCAGTGGGGCCATTCATACTAAAAATCTAAACACTTATGGCCCATTCAGGTGCTGTCGGTACAAGTGGCTGGAAATGGTGCACTATATTCTGTCGTACAACACTGTGAAACTATGTTTATGGTCATTCTCCACCTTGTCCCTGAGGTTGCATGACATGTTCCTCTTGTGCCTCTAATTAACAAGTAGATTTGAAAATAAAGTCTATTTGATTTTGGGCGGGTTTTTTTTAAGGGTGGGGATGTGTGGATTGGTCATTAACAGCAGCACAAAAACTCTTAACACATGAATGACCAAAATCAATGTAAGTAATAAAAACACAAACAAAAAAACACACTAAAACAAAGGTCACAGTGAGATGCCAGAATAAGACAATATGATCTGTCTGAAAATGTCAAAAGAAAATCAGAGACAAACTACCAACAAAATGCTTCTGTATAATAATTTAAAACCTTAATGTCCAAGACAAAGCCATTTTGACCATATATTACTGCACAGAAAACAATTACAACAAGTTATGGTGGTACATACAGTGCAGGTTGCTGTTTATACGTCGTGTCAACTTGTATTCAAACTCTGAGGTTCAATTTATTCACCCACAAAAAACATGGAAATTGCAGAACTCACATTTTTTTTTTTTTTAATTCATTTCAATTCTTTTGTTTTTCTCGTTTTCCTCTTTCTGCCACTCAGGGTACGTTACAGAAGTTTGTGGACGACCTGTTCGAGACCATCTTCAGCACGGCCCACAGAGGCAGTGCGCTGCCGCTGGCTATCAAATACATGTTTGACTTCCTGGACGAGCAGGCCGACAAACACTCCATCACAGACTATGACGTACGGCATACCTGGAAGAGCAACTGGTAAGTGGGAGGGGTTGTCTCAGTTTTACCTGGAGCAACTGAAACGATGATTACCATGGATGTACATGTATTATAGAAACTGGATACAGTTTCCAAGATGGCAGCCCATTCATGTATGAAAAATACAACTATAATATGTTTGGTGACTTTTAGGTATATATTCAAGTCATTCTGAAGTTGCTTTTCTTTGTCTTATGTGATATTAAACCTGTGGGTCAGACAAAACAGGCAATTTCATGACATCACCTTTGGCTTTAGGAAATTTTGATGGGATTGTCTTACTATTTGCTGACTTATTTATTTACATCCCAATATTAGACCCAATAGTAAAGAGTGTTATCATGCAAGACTGACATTATCATTGTGTTATACGTAGTTTTATTCGTTTCTTTTGTAATGAATGTTTTAGCCAAAAATGGGACATTCTCTGCATTTTGGGGTCTAAATCATTGTGTTTCTGGGGGCTTGGTAATCACTGATGGAGGGTGGAATTCGTGGTCAAAGTATCTTTAAATGGCCATGAAAATGAATATTTTATGGAATAGGATGTGCTGATAATGGTAGTGTTCTATAGCCCGTCTGCTAATGTCTGGAGAGTAAATACCAAAGTCATTAAATCAATAAATCTAGGGTCTGCAAAATGCATAGAAAATTTAAATAGTTGCTGTCGGATGCTAGGTCATAATTTACTGGCTGATTTAATAACATCTTCAGACTGGTATTGCAATATTTGTTTCCATACATTATTTATTTCCTTTTATTTCATGAAAACAGGTTTTGCTATATTTGCACAGCATTTAGATGATCTTTGTATAAAATTCTGACAAACTACATTTTCTACCAGTCAGCTGCTACACTGCCTGAGGGCCATGGTACCTACTCAGCTAATAAAGACCGTATGAACCATTAGGAAAAACAAGGTTTAATGCACACAATGCACTAATCAGTGCTGGAAATGAAATCATTCTATATGAACAATAGTAAATTAAGCAATTGAGGCAAGGCAATCAATCATCTTAAATGATGGTGTAAGACAGCTGTCACAAGGGGCGTGGTAATATAGGCTATTACCAGGTCACATTTAATTACTGCATGCTTACTCTGTATTTTTTCTTGGCTTCTCCAGTCTTCCTCTGCGGTTCTGGGTGAACGTGATCAAGAACCCCCAGTTTGTATTTGACATCCATAAGAATAGCATCACGGACGCCTGTCTGTCTGTGGTGGCCCAGACCTTCATGGACTCCTGTTCAACGTCAGAACACAAACTAGGAAAAGACTCGCCTTCAAATAAGCTTCTCTACGCTAAAGACATCCCTAACTACAAAAACTGGGTGGAGAGGTAAGTCAAAGTTTAACCGAAACAAAATGACAATCAGATCAACTGCACTCAACTAGAGATTACCAATATATCCGCATTATATCCTTATGAGTTGGGGTAAGATGAAAACAACAGGAACCCATTTCCACCCACTTCATATTACGTCATGCAGCTGTGCCTCCCAATCCAGTGTTAAAGGGATTTAAGCAAGATAGCCATGCTAACCAGCTGCTAGCTGCCACGCTGGCCCAATGAATACGTTTTTAAAAACACATTCAATGACCGATGTGTTTCGGACGGAGGCTCCGACAATGACAGGAGCATCAACCCGCAGATGAAAATGCGACAGATACCATTTTTACCAGTCTGCATGGCGGCTAGCTGCTCACTCTCAGTCCTAAGCAGAGAGCCACACTCATCTACTGGCAAAGAGGTGGAGGAAGTGGTGGAGGAGGGGGATGTAGAATATGGATAGATGGCAAATGATAGTTAATCACAGTAAATTGTAACTTATAATATTTTATGTGGAGTTGTTGGAAATCATTACTTTTATAGTAGTTTTTCTTTATATACATTAGTGAAAGTTATTCATGAAATCATGGAGAAACGGGCTTAAAACAGTCTTTTTTGTCCTTATGTCCAGCAGCTACCGTTCTCTTGTTACGACCAGCCATCTTGCCAACAACATCTCGTATTGACATCTCGTGTGGTTCTGTGTGATTTGGACAACTTAATGTTATGCACACTTTGAGTTAGGCTCCCCTCCCCCTGCAATCTGCAGACAGACTGATCTCATCTGAAAAGGTTCACAATATGGCAAAAGTGTCTGCAAAGAAAAGTTAGAGACGTGAGATCAAAGTTATTACACTTGTTACACAATGTTAAGGAAACAACAACTGTGACATAAAAGGAACATAACAGGTTGAACTTTATTTTAATCATTTAAATTATTTCACTGAAGTGTATAGAGCTGGATTAAATTAGTATAAAGCAATTATGTCCTGTAATGTCCTGTACAGAAATCTTGCTCCAGGATTATAATGTATACACACACAATGTATACATGTGTACACACAGCCTAAAGGTATCAGTACTATCAGTTCTGTCTGTGACATTTTGAACCTTGTGAATTCAGGTCCAAGACCGATATTGTGAAGAAAGGAAACATCAAGGATTCGTAGAAACTGTTTGGCCTCTCTCTCCAAACAGAGGCTCCCTCTGCCTCACCCTACATCTTTTATTCAGTGCCAGAATGTTTAACTAAACTCAATATAAGTTATGCACCACTGACGCTTGCAACACTTGTCTTTTCCGCTTTTTGGGAAGTGTCCAATAATCACTAAGGAGCTTTCCTAGACTGCTACTTCCCAGACTCCTTGTTTGGCAATGTGCTTTGTGGCTTCTCCCACAGCACGCAGTGATGTTGCGATTTTACCGATACCCAAATTTCCAAGATATCACATTCACAGGGCAGAAAACAGCTACTGCCGATGGGAATAATTACGTGTGAAACAAAAATAATCTGAGTAAGGAATTTAGCTGAAAAGTAAATGACATGTCCAAAGTTCAGTCCCCTATTTTCTTCTTGCCGGTGCAACACTTAAAGAACAACATACTTGGATGTGCTACAGTAAGTCCTAAGGCTTGCAGAGAGCATTTGGAGGCAGTATGAGATAAGGATTTATAGGTGAGGGTTAATTGGGTGCAGTTAAACCTCGTTTCTATTATGCCTCCTAACCCACACTCAACCCCAGCCTGCCCCGCTGCAGTAAACCTTGAGATAGTCGAGATATGGATTCTGGAAACAGGTTGAGGTACAGCTCAATATTGGGATATATTCTTAATATACTGAATTGTTAACTGCTTGCCTCACATTCACTGGGCTTTTTGCTACTCTGCTGCAGCCAACAACACTGAGTCGATAATGGGAAGGTTGCTGTTGCTCATTCAGAATGGACCTCAATAAGTGAAGTCAGGATTAGGGACTGTACAGAAATTATTAGGGTGGGAGGGGAGGATGAACCTTATACGTAATTTTTTTTTAAAAAAAGGCTCTCCCCAGTGTTATTATGTTATTATTGATATTTTCTTTTGAGCCTTGACTTAGAAAGACGTGCAGAAATTCATTTAGGTCCTTATGTATTCGCTAACCCATTCTTTAGGTCACTTACCAAAGCTCATTACTATGATCGAAAGCTTTGCCTTCTAGCTCAGCTCCCTCTTCACCACAGTGCTCCAGTAGTAGTAGCTGTAGTAGTAATAATAATAATAACAATAACAATAATAATAATAATACAATGCACCATGTCCCTCCATGTCATTTGCGTAAATGCTGTATCTCAGGAAAGCCTTGATTACATTTCATTTCAATTTCATGCACCATTTTTGACCATAACTCAAGAATTTGTGCGTTTATTATGACACAATTTAACACAAATGTTTAATAGGACAAAATGATGACGTGATGACAACTAATTATGTTCTGCAAAAACACTTCCAGCCATTATTCAACGCTGTAACTCACAAACAAAGGGGGGAGACTGTGGCAATTTATAGTTTGTGATATACAGTCCACTCCTCGGCTTTGTAGTGATGCAGTTATTTCTCTCACGTGTCCATTTGTCCAGCTAAAGTGCCCTTGAGCATGACACTGAAACATCAGCTCAATACTGGGCATGGAAGTTTGAACTGCATCAGTCCTCCTGGTCACTAGCGCCCAATGTTTGCATTCATAATATCTAACTACCAATAATTCCAGACTTGTAAGTCAAGCTTGCAAATGATCCTTCAAACCTCTGCTTGATCTCTCTTCTAGGTATTACTCCGATATCTCCCGTATGCCAGCCATCAGTGATCAGGACATGAGTGCCTACCTAGCAGAGCAGTCCCGCCTGCACCTCAGCCAGTTCAACAGCATGTCTGCACTTCATGAGATCTACTCCTACATCATCAAATACAAAGACGAGGTGAGCTCCCACTGGATGTGGAATAGAATCAAACAGAATCCAGTGCTGGAATTATTTGATAGCAGGGTGTGCTGTTTTGTCGTCCCCAACCTGCCCCCCTCCCTTCACTTGGCTTGACTAATACCATGAGGTCATTTTAATTCAATTACACTGATAACCAGTCCACATCAGTACAGGCTGGAAGGTATTATCACCATTAGGATGCACATTAAGGCATGAGCTCAACACATTATGGGCCTAATGGAGCTTCATTGAATTTATGTGATTTTCTTTTTTTTTCCCAAAGACCTGCATGTACAGTATCCTACTGCTGCTGCTTGATTAAAAACTTGACATTCCTGCATGTCTGTGGTTCATCTGTTAAAGGAATAGTTTGACATTTCAGGAAATATGCTAATAAGGTTCCTTACTGAGAGTTAAAGGTAGAGTAAGCAATGCTGTAGAAAGACTGTTCAACTGACTGTTCAACAGAAAAACAAATACATCCGTCCCTTCAGTGCTCCTTTAGAAGCCCCCCCCCCCTCAAACTCATGGACGCACATTGCCAAGGCAACAACACCATGACAGAATCCAGAGCACCTTATACGGCTTATGATACAAAACATCATCAAACAAATGCCATGCACACAAACACAGCATCCAATACACAACAGGGTAAAAAAAACTAGTGACGACCGTAGGTGTGACGCTGAGCTAACAAGGAAGGTAACGTTACCTAGCATAGCATTTCGAATTTTGCATTCAACCACTGTGCTCGGAAACTTGTGTTTTTAGATCTTTATGGCCGTAAAATCCTCTGCACATTGTACGGACAAGAACTACACAGCAAACTATCACTACAGCTGCTGCTGTAGAGTAGAGTTAGATGAAAAGATCATTACCATTCTCCTCTCTGTATACTGTATGAAGTGTTCGAAGGAATTAAAGAAACAATATATAACATGTTAATTTACAAGCTTTAGAGGTGCTGGTAGGTGGATTTTGTTACCTTCAGACAAAGCCAGGCTAGAGTTTTCCCCCTTTCCAGTCTGTGCTAAGCTAGGCTAGCCAGCTGCTGTGAATAACTTTATATTTGGCGCTCAGACATGCGAGTGATATCGATTCTTTTCATCTAACTCTGGGCAAGAAAGCAAATAAGCATATTTAACAAAATGTTGAACTTTTCCTTTATGTGGTCAAGCTGTAAATTGTGACTCACAGCACAGTGTTTCCAACCAGAGTATAAGACAGAGTAGTGACTTGTGAATACTTGCAAATTAAATTGTGTGTGTGTTATTTGCTTCTGCTGAACGAGTGTGTGTATGTGTGTGTGCTAAATGTCCTATTTTAAGTGGACTGATAATGTAGCCTTAAATCTGTAGCCTGCACCCTACTCTAACCCATTAAGACTCTGTACACACACAACTGAAATGACAAAGAAATGTCCCCCTAGCTATTTAATCTTTCCTCTATCTCCTTATCCCTTCTTCTCTCCTTTCCTGCCTCATTATCCTTCGTCCTCTCCATCCCCTTATTTTCTCCTCCCATGAGTCACTGTGGTTCATATCCCCCCTCTCGACTTTTACCCTCCTCCTCCTCCGGCTTCTGATGGACAGCCATATGTCCTTTTCAACCTCTGCTTTTCCCAACTTTAACGGGCTTTTGTGTGGTGAAAGATAAGTTGTCTCAGCCTCTTTCCCTCCCCTCCTCTCCATCCCTCCATAGCAGCAGTATTACAGTAGTTATGCCGGCTGGTTGCAGGTGGCTCCATTCAAACCAAATGCTCCCCTTCATTACAGCCTATTATCCAGATGTAGGCAGCTGCACAATCCCTGTCGCCTCTAACACATGCCCTGACCTCACATGCACGCAGAAACACGCACTTGTATAAATGTACACAGTCGCATACACATACTAGTGCACATACACACATCATTATGACAAGACAAATGCGCACATAAATACAGTCTTTTTGCACATACTGTACCAGCTCCTCCCTCCCTTGTTCATGGCACACAAAATAAAACACCAACACACACACACACACACACACACTCCTGTACACACTCCCAGTGGCCCTGAACATGCCATTGTGGACATCTCACTAGCCCTAACACCTGGCCGCCAACCTCTGTTTAAAATGTAATCACTAACAGGGAAGCTGAAATTAGCATCAGAGCACTCTCTCTGCTAAAGAGCTGGAGTGTGCTGCATGCCACAGCAATGAAAGAACTGATAACAGCTATCTTTCTCCATATTTGTGTCCAGATCCTCTCAGCGTTACAGAAGGATGAACAGTCGCGCAGACAGCGGCTACGTGGCAAGCTGGAGCAGGTGATCGACACCATGGCCCTGGCTAGCTGAGGACCGGCCAACCGCACGCCTGGGCTATTGGAGAACTGGCCAACCAACACGCCTTCCCTGACAACCTTTGATGCCCGTGACATTTTGACCCTCGACATTTGAAGTCTGTCGTCATCACCCTCACAAACAAACAACCAACAGCAGCAGAAAAAGACTGCAAGGACACAAGCACTCAGCAGCAGCAGCACACTGGAGAGACAGCAGAGTTTGGAACTACAGCCCCTCCGGGCAGGGTGGCGTTTTGTTGTTTTTAGTTCTTTTTTTTTTTCCCTCTGAGCCACCAACCCTGCCATGAACAACCAAATCAAACTCACCCTCAGTTTCATCAGATATGGACCTCAGCTCAGGAGAGCCTTTATTTTCATCAAGGCCCTCATTATGTCGAGACTCCTATGGGAGTAGCAGTTGGGTACTTTGGCCACAATCAGGAGCGGTACATGCACAGTGGTGACCAATAACTCATCTAGCTGGATACAGAGCTGAGATGCTAATGGAAAGGTACCAGTCACCAGCTGGTAGCTTTCCACAGCCACAGGCTATGGTTCAAACTGTGAACCAATAAAAATCCAGGATATATTATCGCGATACTTGAGCCCTTTCTCTTTCCTGTTTCTGCCCTTGGCGGGGAGGTCAGAGGTCAGGCTACAGAGCAGCAGCCACGGAGCTGGTAGAGATTCAGTGTGTTGCTCAGAGACACTTCGGCAGGGTGGATGCTTGGCAGCACATAGGTTGCTGCCACTGCAGGGCAACCAGGAGGAAGGACTTTGCAGGGAAACTCTTCCTCCAGTACTGACTCTCCAACTCTCTCATCAACAAGAACTCCACTGTAGTCAAACAAAGGACATTTTCAGTTTCAGAACTCTGCATTTGATTTGTTATTGCATTCAATTCTGTTTCTCCCCCTGAAAACTGCCTACTCTCCCCAGTGCTGTGCCACTTGTGTTACTGCTGAATTTGCACAACAAAGCTAAATCAAAAGAGAGAAGAGGATATATGAATATATATAGATATATAAATACAAACCTTTTGTTTTTAAAACAAATGAAAAGTTGAAAAAAAAATGTTTTCCATTTAAATGTACAAAAGATAAGTTTGAGAAGAGGATTTGATATTTCCAAGATGAAAAATTATGAAAACACAAGGAAAAAGTCGTCCTGTGCCATGTTTTACTTTGAATGTTGTTTAGTGCAAAGAGACTTCTTTTCGTTAGATGAAATGTGCTATGATGAAAATGTTGTCATGCTTACTGACTGAAAGTGAGAGTCTAAAAATAGGTAACTGGCAAAAAAATATATATATATATATAAATCTATATATATATATATACATATATATATATATACATAAATATAATTACAGACACTTTCTATATTTCATGAGGTCTTGGAGCCGTTGTGTTCTACATCTTTGGCTCCAAAGAGACTAAAAAGACTAATGATGTCTGGAAGTCACCTGTGAGCCAACCGACCTACAGTGCTCTTGTGTTTGTTTTAAAGAAACCAAATACACCTGGTCAGCTTATTTAGATGAAAAAAAAAAAGTAATTTCTGTGGAGGCCAGCCTCGTTGCTCCGTGGTAGCAGACTACTATAGAGGAATTAGGCAGTCATTTAAGTTTGACCCTGCAACTTCTTGATCTTCTTGTTTTATAGACTTCCCCACTTGTCTGAACCATTTTATTAGCTGTGCCATCCAATATGACGGCTAGTTTTGGTGTGAAACAGAAGACAGTGAAACAGTATTGTCTGGTTTTGGCTTGTTTTTTTTTTGTTTTCTTTTTGTTTTTTTAGTCTGCAGTTAATACAGTAAAAGCTAAAAGTTCAATTTTTTGAAATGTGAATGTGGTTTATGAAGAGATGATGAAATGTAGCTTGATTTATGTGAGTGTTTTTGTACCAGTTGAAGGCCTTTTTTTCATTCTGTGATTTTATAGGGGTATGAAAAAAAAAAGTTAAGTACATGCTGCTCCGCGTTAACTTGCAGTGCTTCGAAGAACATGCATTCATAAACAAGACATTCCTTTCTCCTATGACTGTAAAAGGGTTACAAGACTAATAAAGAAGGTTAGAAAATACATTTTAAAAAATGATTGAAAGGTGTTAAACAAAACCAGGGTAATGTATACTGTATGTTATCCGTCCTGTAAAAAGCAGAGCACACACATCAACAACCAGATCAGATAGTTGAATTCAAGACAAAAAAAAAAAAAAACTCCTCTACTTAACCCTGTTTGTTTCTTTTGATACAGAATGTAAAACAGGTCACTTTAAAAGGAAACAGTTACCAATGCCTCACAATCATTTTCATTTTCTTCCTCTTCAGCATTGCTTCCCTCAGATTTATTTTCCCTGGGGTAGAGTAGAAAGGCCTCTAACCAGTTGAAACTAGAGTCCTCAGGCGAGTCCAAATGGCACAGAGCTTTGAAGTTACATCAGGAACCTGATACACCAGGGCTGTTGTGAAAGGCCTGGTAGGTTTATTTAAAACTGGAAGTTACTATAACCCTTTGACTTATCTTTTCTTCTGGCTAACAAGCCTACACTAAGACAGTTTGAGAAGAGGAAACTGAGATGGCAGCCATTACTAACTTACTTTCTTTGTTTTTTTCCATCTTGATGATGGCTCATTGTGACTGTAGTGAGTGCTGCTCTTCAGTGCAATCCAGCAGAGCAAAGGGAAACTCCTTTTCTAACACAGCAGCAATCCATCTGCAATGAGACCTGCACCCCAGTGTTCTCATTCTCCATTGTCTCAATTCTTGGGATATGCTGATTGCTCATGCTGATTTTAAGCTAGCACACACTTAGAAACTTTCTCTGATTCACATTCACACGATTAAGGATTTATTCTAAGTTTAAAATGTTATCTGGAAAAACACACTCATATGTTTTTGAATTGTAATTATAAGTACAGTAAGCTAAGATTGCAAATCTACAATCAAGGGAGGTTTAAAACTAAATTATCAGTTCAAATAAATGGAATGGAATTTAGCTGGCATAATTGTAGAAATCTGTATTCCACAAGTTTAATACATGTGGAAGTTGTAGTGACTAAATCACATTGTTTTGTTTATTCTGAACACAGAAGACCAGTAGCTAGAAGACTAAGTGTGTGAGCAACACTTCAAAAGCACCAGATGGACTAACTGACATATCCTGAGTGATAATTGTTCAGTCACAGCTATTTTACAGAATGAAATTATAGGGCAAAATCCCCTTTGGTGCAAGTGGTTTTCAGTCACTTGCATTTGTGGTAAATTTGCACCTTTGACCCTTTGGATTTTGTCTTTTGAGGAGCAGTCTCTCCAAACCTGGAAAATAACAATGAAGTTTTGAATGAAGATTGAAATAACTTTAGTTATCATTTAATGTCCCAGTAAGGCACTGGTAGGTGCTACCCACGCCATGTTAGCTGCTGCAGATGATTAGCTGACTGACATGCTAATTTAAAAGTTGGTCAGATTAATGAAACAAATGACATTCCCCAGCTATACCCACATAAAAATTAACAATATATATTCCCTACAGTTTTCATGTTTGAGGTGTAAAAAATGTGATCAGTTCCCTGTTGAAGCCCTGTGGCTCAGTAACACACAAAATTTGGAAATTATTTAGCCAACTCCAGCTTTCTCCTTTTAAGTCATCAGGATGGTAACTATTTTTCAAATATATAAAAAAAAATTCTTTCGTCAAACAAAAGTAAATTCCCCTTGATAGATTATTGTTTTTTTATTAAACCCTTTAATAATCCAGTGTACATTTTCTTGTCACACTAAGATGCCATGTTTCCAACTGACAGCATAAACATGTTTGGACAGAATGAAAAGTACTGTATGTGCTTCAATACTTGAACCACTGATCTACACAGGGTAAAACAACATACAGGACCGCTGACCAAAGCTTTATTCATCCACATCAGGAGAACATCTCCGTGACAAGAAATTATCTTTGATCCATCTGCTTTCAGTTCTTCCACAAAAGGATTTTGCACTCACTTACAGTCACTTAAAAACCTCCTCATTGAAGGTATTTAGTGTTTGTCTTTATGCTTGATGAATGGTGAAATTGAGATGATGTTACTTCCATGTACAGACACTCATTAACACATTTTGTTCAATTTAAATGAAGGACTGAAACAGTCTGAGGATGTGGACCACTGTGTTGATGTTTGACTGCTATTCACTTGCTCAATTGTTCTTTTGATGAAGACTTGTAAAGATGATTTTAGTGATGTGGAAAATATAATGAGGCTTAGTTAGTAAGCCTCATGGATTACTTTGTAGGGTGTAGAAAAAAAAGAGAAAAAAAGTTCAGAAAAATGGCGGGATAAGGCCCACATGGTCTCTGGTGCTTTTGTTTCTTAGCTTTGCTACTTGTTTTCTGCTTCACCACTTGTTGGGGCAAAAGATGAAAAGACTTGGGCAAGGCAGAGGAAGTGCTTTGAAGGCCATGGTACCGCTTCATTTTCCATTCTGTTACATCTGTGGCATTCGGTTTCTCCACATAGAAAAAGACAGTGGTGAAGGAGGAAGAAAGAGGTGGAGGGAGAAATTCTCTCAGTGAATGACCGATACAAAACTGTTCCCCGTGCCTTGTCAGCCTCTTACCATACTGAAAATTATGTATATTTACATAATACTTAAGAATATGATTTAAGATAGGTGTTAAAGATTGGTCATAGAAATATATTTAAATCTACAATTTGGCAACTATCGTTTATTTTAAAGTTGCTTTTTTTCTGAGCGTGAAATGAGAAGGTTGATACCTATTTCTTACAAAGCTGCAGTAAGGATGTGTTTGACCTAGCTCAGCATAATATGTGAGCGCTTGCCTGGCTCTGTATGTAATGAAAAAATAGGAGTAGCTACCAACACCTTTCAAGCTAATGAGGAAGAAATTATTTATAATTTATTTAACTTTGGAATAGACAGATGAGTAAATGCAACAGTTTGTAGTTTGGGGTTGGAAAAACAAGATACATGTCTTAGAAAGTTAGCTTTGAAGATGTTGAGCATGATATGCTCTTTCAGTGTTCATGCTAAGTTGAGCTAAGCTAACTACATTGTGACTCCGGTTCTGTCCTTAACACTGAGACATAAGATTGATGTTATCACTCTTGTAAACAAAGTAACTTAGCAGATAAAAGAAATGCTAATTTGTCCTTTAAGTATGAAGCTGTTAGGAGATGGTTAGATTAGCTTAGCATAAAAAGAGCTAGCCTTGCTCTATTTGAAGGGAAATAAAACATCTACAAGCATTAATACAGTAAGCATATAAACATGTATGCTGTTCATTTAACCTTTAAACAGAGCTAGGCTAGCTGTTTATTCCTGCTTTTAGCCTTTCTGCTAAAAGATAACCTAGCCTCATGTAGTTTACATAACAGTGGGGTCAGTCTACTTATTCAACTCTCCAAAAGAATGTTAAAAAGCATTTTCTCAAAAAATGTTTACAGCTACCAGTGCGATTTTTTGAAAGCATTCTTTAAATCTATTCTGAAGTATACCAGAAATATACTTTTCAATATGGGCTGTCATGTTGGTGGCAGCATGACACCACCTCCCACCCATAGAGAGACACACCACCGCACAACCTTAATATGTCCCCGGTTCATCTGTCATTTTTGATTTGATCCCCCTCAACAACAACACTTGTGGGTTTTTCTTCCCTCCAGCTCCAATTCTCCAGCTTCCTCACCTGCTGAGTTCACTTTGATTAAAGTACATTTCAGAGAAGGAGTATAGGACGTAAAATATCTTCACACACAGATTAAAGAGGAGAGAGGTAGAAAGAAAAAAATACCTTAAAGAGTTTTAATACTTTATGAATTCTGATACCTTTTTAAGAGTTTCAGACTTGAAGCTGCTGTGACAGGTTTTGGCTGTTTCACGCCCGTGTAAATATCCTGCTCTTTCCTATTTTGCAGATTTATTACGTGTAAATAGACACGCATCAAGGAGAGATTAAACATGTTTTTTGCTAAATCTGGCTCGTCTGATGTTTTTATTCCCCCTCCCCATCCTTGCATACTCTCAAAGTTCTGGATTT